CATCAGATGGAAGGAAATTTGATACAGGCTTTTCCTAAAATTAACTGGAATTTGCTTTTTTTAGCCGGTTTGTCAGAAAGAGGGTTTCAGGGACACACTTTCTTTATATTGACAGAATCAGAAGGTGAAATCAGTACATCAATTAAATTGAGAGAATTGGACTCAAAATGTGAATCATGGAAGCGTTTTTTCTTCTCTTTTTTATCCAATGGAAAGGGGAAATAGACCATCTTGGCTGTCATACTTGGACAGTTGGGATTTCGAGAAAATAAAATCCCACATAAAAACCCCACAGGAAACACGTAAACACGTTTCCAAGAATTCCTGCCCTGGAGTCAGAGACCTCGATTCGCGGAAAAAATAACATCCATCTTATCGTAAAATAAGGATAAATGAACTACACCGTAACAGCGATTTGACATGGGGACTTGAATTTCTTGAGTAACTCATGGGGTTTCAGAATTCCTCCTGATATCCTTTTGGGATTCCCAGAGAATAACGACTTGATGAAGTCTGCAGCCACACTCAGTCGTAATAAGTACAAGAGCTCATCAACCTATGAATTAATATATGCACACACACTCTGTCACAAAAAAATTTGAAACCTTTTTCAATTTTTAGCCACTTGTAATTGGTTCAGGCTATCGCTGTGCGCCTTTGTGGACGGACTAATGCATCAAATGAGTACATGCATGCAAAGTTATAGCAATATCCATTTGCTGGTTCTTGAAATGCAGGTGATTCAGAGCGTGCCAGCAGTAAAGGAGTGTCGCCAAAACTTGTACGGGCGCATTAGTCCAAATTCAGTATCGTGCCTCATACAGGATGGCTGACACGATGCGCACGACCAAGATAATTGCATTAATCTTTCCTGTTTGACACTCGGATGAGGTGTTCGAAGTGCCCGCCGTGTCATTCTGCGAACACGCTCGTGACAATGATCGAAACCCAAATGCTGCACGGTTCGCATCCTCCTGCGATGGGGGAACGGCGAGTTCCCTCTCTGGCTGGCTGTGCTCGCGCCGAGTGCGGCCGGCAATGGTCCGCCGCAACCTTGGAATAAGCTGTTGCATCTCCGAAATGAAATTATGGATTTTGATACAACTTTGCGTGCATGTGCTCATATGATGTCTTAGTCAGCCCTCAAAAGCGATAGTCTAAACCGATTTCGAGAAGCTACAAATTGAAAAGGGTTCCAAAATCTTTTGGGACAGTGTACATTACATTTTCGAAACCACTTATCCTAACCTAATAGGGTTGCAGCTCTAGCAGACGGAGGAGCATCTTCTAGCGTTCGCAACCTTGGACAACGGACAAGTTCGGCTGGTGGTATACCGAACCTGGAATGACAACGATTCGCGATGTAATCCGTCCACCTAGCACGAGACCTACCGACTGATCTACCCATCGTTTTAAATTTGAAAGCCTCTTGGAAGCCTCTTGGGAGTCTCTCAGAAGGCATGCTGGAGACATGTCTAAAACAACGGGCGCCGAATGCGTAGATGCTCCACCTGAAGGTTCTCACGGATCCTGGCACTCTGCATCCTCTCACTCGGCGTAATACCCGCCACCTGTCTCAGTAATCTCATCGAGGCAGCTTGTATCCGCGCACTTATTTTTTCGGTCATTACTCACGGCTCATGGTCATAGGTGAAGTTGGGGAGGTAAATGCGCTTAAGAATCGAAAGGTTCCCCTCCCCGGAAATTTCAGATAGGGCAACAACGGTCCTTCATAGTTCCTGCAAACCCGGGTTAGCCCTGGAAATGCGGCTGTCAACCTCGTTTCCGTATCGCTCATCACTCGAGAACCACACCTCGAGGTGCGATAAAAGTTCGTGGACTTTTACTTTATATAGTTACAACACTTGCACCTAAAATCCGCATCTTGTTATTTTATGATTATGGCAAGCCTGCATGCCATTTCATAAATTTCGCAGATTGGCAAACCTTGCCAGAGCGGAAGTAAACAAAGATGGCTGAGGACTCCGTGAGAGAGCAGCGGATTGTGACAATTCCTTGTGGCTGAGGGTGAAAAGGCCGCATCCACCCACAAACAGCTGCAAAATGTTTATAAGGACCAATTTGATGCTCCAATTGATCGACTGAAATGCGACGGTCTGCCTGAATGAGCTCGTCCACACGTTGAATGTTGACTTCAGTGACAGACTTGCTGGGGCGGCCGATGCGAGGGTCACCTTCAATTGACGTTCGTCCGACTTTAAAACGTTCCACCCACTTGAGTACCGCTCGTTTCTTCAAGCATTGGTCCTTATAAACATTTTGAAGCCGTTTGTGAATGGATGCGGCCTTCTCACCCGCAGCTACAAGGAATTGTCACAATCCGCTGCTCTCTCACGGGGTCCTCAGGCATCATGTTTACTTCCGGTCTGACAAGGTTTACCAAACTGCGAAATTTATGGAATGTCATGCAGGCTTGCCATAATCATAAAATAGCAAGATGCGGATTTCAGGTGCAAGCGTTATAAGTATACAAAATATATTTAAAAAATAAAGTTCACGAATTTTTCTACCCCCCTCGTACTTATTCCACCTCCACCTATTCCAGTGGGACCCCCTCAATATGCAAAGAGCCGTAACCTGCGCCTTGGGCCGCTCAGTTTAATTCCGGTCGCAGTACATTCCGAGTCGAACCGGTCGAGCCCGCGCTGAATCTCAGCCAAAAGGATGGTATAATCGGCAAAGAGAAATATATTTTCCTCGACACCGCTGATGCAGACCCCATCGAGGCCCAGGCTACGCATACAGATCCTATCCAAGTACACGATGAACAAGAAAGGAGAGAGTACTCAACCCAGACGGAAGCCTCAGCTCGAATGCAATCCCTACAATCACTTCATAAAGATTGGCTGGTCCACAGTTGTTGACAGTTAACCCCATACTTACGTAGCACTACGCCACAACTTCCCTCGAAGCACACGGTCGTACGCATTTTCGAAATTCATAAGGCGCACGCAAATCTCTTTGGCTTACTTCCAATGTCTCCCGAGAATCTGGTGTAGAAAGAAGGACTGGTCCGTGGTGCTGCGCTCTTCTCGAAATCCGCATTCTTTCTTTCTCACGGCTTCTTCAACAACTGCTCCAGCTCTCTTTTCTTGGCACAGGCATGATGATGAGGAGAGTGATTTCATGGTAATCGATGCATTCCCTCGAATCCTCCCTCTGGAAGGAGGACTTCATTTTCAAAGTTCGCCCCCTTTTTACTATCCTTAAACATCGTCGACCCTTTGTCTCGTTTCACTTGGCACCTGACTTCGGCATGCATCATTTTCAGACTACGAGAAATGGTTTTCAATTTGCCTAGAGAGAGAGGGATGAGGATTGAGGAATGGTGTTCGTGGCAGGTAGCACCATTTCTACCGGAACAAATTCTGGCCGAGTTACCTGAGAATGCGAAGGAGCCATGACGTATGTACGACGTCCCTTTTACGTCATCTTCCCAGCCGGCTGAGAAAACGAAGGCGACCGTGATGTCAGGGCTCTCATCCTCCCCTTCGCCGCTCTATTTCTTCCCGCTTTCTGGATCACGTCGTCCTCACTTCCCTCCACGGGGTTTCGGGACCTCCTTAATCATCTCGTCCGGAACGGTACACAACTCAAGAAGCCTCTTGCTTTCTCTGCCCGTCACGAGCGGGAAAAGTTAGGTTATTTCGGTTCCTTGCTCTCGCGGACCAAGAATGTGCATGCTGATTTGCGAAGGAAGAGGATCGAATAGCCGTCCGGCTGCGGTCAGTCGCCCGCAAAAATGCAAGCTTCAGAGCAGGGGTGCACGACATACCGCCCGCGGGCTGCATGCAGCCCGCGAAGCCTTTGCTTGCGGCTCGCCGAGACTAGTGGCGTTGTAAGTGCTACGGCTCCTGCCGTGTTCAGCTATGGTCAACCAGACTCGCAGTAGATGAGTAAAAATCGCAAATGGCCCTCACAGTGTATCAAGTTGTGCACCCCAGCCTCAGAGGAACGGAAATGCGAGAGCGTGTCCTCCCATTCCACTTTCCTCAATTATGATTCCGACCCAGACGCAGTCTTAACTCGAATGTCTCGCTCAGCATGAGGCGGCTTTCGAGTGGTGGCCTTCGCGGGGCTGTCACAGAGATGCCTTTTATCCCCTTCGCAAGGATGACTGCAGCACAAGAAAGAATCGTTATACGAGAAAGAATTATGGTAGGAAATTTTTTTTCTTCCAGGAAATCGTGAAAGAAGTCATTCATGAAGTCTCAAAGTCTTGCCAAGAAGAACTCTTTCACAATTCGATCTTGAGCTTGATGTGAAAATACCATCAAATGTCTGAAAAATGAGCGAAGATGCAATTGTAGTATTATTCGAGAGGCCAAGAATTTCCTCTCTTTACGAATATAAGCGTGTAAATGTAGGAATATCCACCTTTGCACCGGACAGATGAGACATTGAACTTTCTGGTGCAACGGTATATGTTCCTCAGTTATTATTCTGCCTGGAAAAAAGTAAATTATTGGCCTCCCGTAAATTTCCATGCTAGCATATTCAACCTTTCATCAGATCTGCGACAAGATGATGAAAAGGGAGGGTATGGAAATCCTCCCCCCCCCCCCATCCACCCTCCCAGTTTGTGCAGGGTAAGTCAAGAGATTGTGAATATGGGTCACATGTGAGTGGCACATTTCTTCAGATGACTTCTCAAGTTTCAAGAAGGTGAAGATCATAATTCGCATGCCTCAACACTTCAACATGGCTTATACCCACCAGCATGTGTAGCCGTAACTGATTTCAATTCAAATGTCAAAATTTTGCATTATTATGGCAAATGTGCTTCCGAGGTTAATTAATATATTTAAACACATGTTGAAAATCCATGGAGATGAGCCTTTTGAACGCCAACTATGAAGGCCACTTTTCCATTAGAGACGATGAGGAAACTCTACTCGAAATAGTTTCAAACTTCAGACAGCACCTGAACATGGCAGCACGTGTTTCTTTGGGGTGTTGGGAGCCAGACTCGCAAAGATATAGACAAATAGCCATTTATTCGATTAAGCTTGTCATAAATGCATCTCACGCGATTCTGAACCCCTTCTATTTTTGAGGAAGGAGGGATTCGGGGAAGATATACGGGAGGCTGGGGGGGAGGACGGGGTTCAAGCTGGATCACAGCACCACATTGAAAATACTCCACGTTTTACAAAGAGGCAAACAGAAAGACGAACACAGGAATAGCATGTCATTCCACTTCCCTAAAATGATAAAAAAAAAGCTCTCGAGAAGCACGGTACGATCGACTGATTTTGTCTTAAAATAATTACATATGAAATTAGAGCCGACCAGGAACAGCACGCCTTCAACGTGAAATCCTCTTTCTGACAATACACTTGACATCACAAGAGAAACGCAAGGAACGACAGTGTCTGGTGAATCACAATCGACTAGTGACGTCATCGTCATCGACATCGTCGTTCTATGGAGTCTAACATGAAACGATCGCGGCATGATCATGGCATATGTTTGGGGGATCACGAGGAATCATCCGATCTGGAGATGTGGAGGAACGAATCGTCGGAATCGTCTGGCGAGAGGTGATGGACATGGTATTTTTTCCGGACTTGATAACCGCGAAAGTTGCTCTGGATCTTGGTGGCAGCCTCTTCTTGCTCGTGCAGGCTTTCCTTCGTCTCCTTTCGGGTTCGGTATCCGCGAAAACGGGCTTGGATCTTAGTGGCTGCCTCGTTCTGGCGATTTTCGTCTTTTTCGCGAAGCTTGGGGGAGTTCTTGCGAACCTTGTAGCCTCGATAACGGGCTTGAATCTTGGTGGCAGCAGCGTTACAAAGACGGTTTTGAGCAAGTTGCTTCTTGCGTTCCGGGATGGAACCTCGTCGGATTTTCTGTCGAGCCAGGTAGCCACGAATCCCGGCCTGAATCCGAACGGCTGCATGCTCTGGGTCTACACGACCACTCTCCATCATCTTCGTCTTCTGCATCTTATGCAACTGCTTCCGCGTCAGATAGCCTCGGATCCCGGCTTGAATCTTCGTGGCCGCCAGTTCCTCTTCGTAGTGAGAATGTTCGATAGGCGTTTCCGCATTTGGTCTCTCTTCGGGGAGGAGGTCGAGTCCCCCGAAGGAGCCGTCTTCTTTAAGTTCGTCGTCCGAGGATACCAGGATGGCGCCGTCTACCTTGGGCAAGTCTTCGCTCTCGTCGTCGTACGACAAGTCTTCCACGTCGGAGCAATTCTCTGGGATGTGTATGTCCACGCGAGTCGTCGGCTGGTCCAAGGTCGAGGGCTCGTGTTGCTCCTGCGGGATCTCCATCACGTCAGACGATTCCGTCATGGTGACAAGGGTCTTTGGCACTTCAGGCTCTACGACTTCAAACTCTTCTTCGTTCGTCTTTGTTTCTGGAGGATGTTCGTCTGATGAGTGTGGTGGGGCTTGGGATGTTTCGATTGGCGCGGCCGGAGGGGTCGGTGGAAGCACCTCTTCTTTTGAGGCTTCTTGCTTTACTGCATCGTTGATGGCTGGGGTGTCCACCGGTTTAAAGGCTTCTTCAGTCGTCAAAGCGGAAGGTCTCGGTCTTTCTTTTGGACTTCCTTCCGTATTTTCCGTCTGTGGACCTCTTTCCCATTCAGTGGGAGCTTCAGAAGGCCTCAGGACTTCATTCACTTTTGGAAGGGGTTCCTGGTAGGAAAGCTGCATCGATGGGGCTTTTGTGACTATAGATTCCTCCGTAGACAAGGGTTCGATGGGTACCAGAACTTTCGCTTTAGGTTTGTCCATGGGTGCCCAGACCTCAGTACTACCATGAAAGTCATCCTGTTGAGATGGAATTTCTTTCTTTCCTGGAACCTCTGTCACTTTGGGATTGGACTTCTCTTGTGTAGCTTCATCACGGTCTGATTCTTCTTGATCGGTACCTGTCACCTTCGCTTCAGATGTCGATTTCTCTTTTGCTGCGGCGTCTTGGCTCGATTCTGACTGTTCTACATGCGACAGTTTCTTCGTCCCTTCTTGTACTATCGGAGATGCTGCTGCTTCATGTTCAGGATAGTCCTTGGAAGGTTTACGGCTGCCCGGCTCCGATCCCTCGTCTGGCTTTACTTCCCTCTTCTCTTTCTGCAAATAAACACAGGGGAGACAAAAGGGAAAAATGGAGCACCAGCTGGAGCATAGCGAGAGAAATATACCTGAACAACAGGGGAAAAACAGCATACTACCATATCAAGGTCGGATGATGACTACATGTAAGAAATAGCATTCATTGGCCAGAAATAAAAAGCCTCCCAGCTCAAAGGGAGCAGGTGAAGTCCTTTCCTTTCCCCCAGGATCCTCATCCCATGCCTCGATTATAGCAAATTGCATATGATTGGGAACCCATCTATAATTAGCTTTCCAATCGTACGCTATCATCAATCTTCGCAAATGGAATAACCAGCAAAGTAGGCAGAAGATGGGAATGTACCAGCTGAAGCAAGCACTGGGAGCGGGGAGTTTCTCATTAGCATGGAGCATTAAGAAAAGTGAACGCCATATGCTATAGTTCAAAAATGGTTTGGGGGGAACTTTCATACAAGGTTGGAACTTGAACTTTTATGCAAGGTTTTTGCAGTTCACAGTACCTGGACCAGAGTAAAGCGACAAAACTGGAACAACTGAAGGTTGAGTCTCTCTCTTTTACCCTATGGCATTAATGAGTTTGAAGGATAAGTGCCTGGAGGTTCCATTCCTAAATCTTTCATGCGCAGGTTTCATACATATTTATTTTCTTGCATGTCTTATTTCTTAATGATTCTAACATAATGTTTAGTCATTCTTTCATCTTTCATGATCGTGTCCTTCCAATATTTCTAGAGCCTTGCGGAAAGAGAAGAAAATTTCGACACACGAGTCCCATCTAGATGTCAACAGTGTGTTTCTTTTCCCAGAACTCTCAGAAGAGCAAAAACATCATCACCTGACACGCACTTCTATCTGATTGGCATGGTGTCGACCCTCTTTTCGACCTTCCGAAAGATGGAAACATGCGACAGCACGCCACGGCGTATTGCGCACCGTGGAGGGTTCGAATTACCCACCCCGACTGTTCGGTTTTGCATTACCGCACGCACAGGTTCATGATATCCCCCCCCCCCACCGATTCCCCTCGCTCTGACGTGTTTCACCTACGCAATACGACGCTTGATAGAAAAAAGGAAACAAAATATCTCGTAGCACATCCCTGATTAATGAGGCGATGTTTGGGATGACGGGGGAAGGGAGAATCCCTGCCAAACGGCGGCGGAATGGCAAGACCCTACTTCCCTTTGACCTTTGCCAAAAGAGCTGAGAGTCGTCCACGAGTGATCTCTCAAGTCGACGTCATTCGTGGACACCTCAACATATCAACCACTAACATTTAAGCACCGACTTTGCCGCAGCAATCGAGTCGGCTTTGTCGCAGTGATCGAGCTAACATGTCTCACTCCTCGAGTCGACGGGTAACGTAACGGGATATTACGACCGTTAACATACTCAAAAATACAAGGAAATAAAGCACAAAAAAACCTGGGAAAAGCGGACTCGACTCTAAAGGCGACAGAATAAGAGAAAAAAAAAAGAAAAAAGAAAAACCAGGAACATCGCAATCACAGCGAGACCCGCCTTCTTCCTCCACGAACAAAGGAAACTTCAGAGAATTAAACCTAATGCGACGACACACTAACCTTGAAGAACCGACTGAACCATGTTCCCATGGCTTTTAAGGTTTAGCGGAAGGGATGAAAAGACGATTCAAGATCACATGTCCTAGATCCAACGTGAACTCATGCACTGGTTTGTTCGCTCTCAAGCGCCACTCTCTCTGGAGAATGCATGTGCGAACGCGTATGTGAAGAGTGAGAGCGCCGATTCGCATGCTCAGGAGGCAACCCGCTAAGAATAGTACAGGGGGAAGGGACTGTACACATTGCGCCGAGGCCTCCCTCGTTCTCACCCAGCTTTTGTCCGCGAAACACTAACAACTGTATGCGCCAGACCCGGAAGAAACGAATAAGATGTACGAAATCGGATCCAGGATTCTTTTAGACCGTGATCCTTGCCACGTGGCGGTTCCTTCCGGCTCTAGCAGCTTTCCGCATTCTTTCGCATCGCCGTCGAAATGAACCGTACGGAAACGAGCACGACGTCGATGTGACACTATTGATGCATTTCCGTTGCTACTGCCAACTCTCAATTCCCTTTCTTCTGACTCACCTATTTAAAAATTACCTCAATGACGTTTATTCTCCGACTTCAGTGGACTGCGATCAGATGGATGAATGTCTACAAATACGACTGAACGTGACAGGATACTGAAATTCCGCCCGCCACATTCCTGGACTCGGTGAGGCGCAGCTCTATACCGGCGGAAGCGTGGGATTTCCGCTGGCTTCCATTCGCTCCTTCCAGTTCTCGTTCGCCAAGTCTTAGTTTATTTGCTGTCGCGGTTCCACATTCTCTTGGTAATCCATCGACGGGGGCCCTTGAGTACCACGGTCGAACGAGAGTTGCACACGTCTGGGTTCACTATTGTTGCTATTGTAGTCAGACCGTGGTTCAACTGGGTCCGACGGATTCCAGAGCAGTAATTTCTCGATCGTGCGAGGGGGGGATGAGGGGAAAAGAAGGGAGTGAATGCAATAACGAAGCAGCACACGCTGAGCCGTGCTAAAAAAAAAAAGGAAGAAAAATAATCAGTACGTCCGTCCTTGACTGAACCACAGATGAGGCTGCATTTAATCAACCTGAAAGGTATTCGTTTCTCTTAAGTCTCAAGGTGAACGAATCGGAAGCCCAGGCAAATTTCACGTCTGTTCTTATTTAGCAAGAGTCCGATTTCTGTTGAAAGATACCTTATCAGTTTCCCACGCAGCTACGGTCTGATCCTTAAGCTAAAGCGGAGAGAGATGTCAAAATCTCAGTGCACCGAAGTCGAATCGTAATTCTAATTGAGTGCAACAAGGCTGAACAAAAACAGAGGAATGATCAAAATTTAGCCAACATTAACCTGGAATCGACCTTCGAATCGGAAACCAGCCATGTGCAAAGAACTATCTTATGGAAAAAAAATTCAGTGGCTTTCTTGGTTCTGAGGCCTCAGGCAAATACACCTTCACCCCCCTCCCCCGTCGAACTATGGTGTAACAGGGCAAAATAACAAGCGCGAGTAGAATATCGTGGCACGACGCTTCTCCGTATTTGGTTTAGACAAGATCATTTTCACCGTGATAACGTTTGTGCGTCATTCAACTGCACATATGTTATGATTGTCATGGGAAGAGATTCGCATAGCACTGACAATTTGCTCGTACGGCGCCCAATTTTCTCGTTTAGTGAATCAACGCATCCACCCAATTAGTTTTTTTTTTTTATACCATGGACTGGCATACACGCAGACGCAGAGCTTGTTGCAGACAATGCCGCAAGGTCCTGAGCACATTGAATGGAAAAGTTATCTCTTATCAGGCATCGCTGGCGGCATCGCTGCACCTTCCCAAGAACCATCTACATGTCCCGCTCTCACGTCCCCATGGAAGGTGATGACACCTTCGATAACGTTCTGGATTTAGATCCCTTTGTCCCAGTGCCGCTAAGCTGATGTGGCGATTGTGATTGACGTGTATCACGCTCCTCCTGATCTCATAGAGTGACCTATGCTAGAGCAAAATGGAAAGCAGGTAGTATCCGAAGACAGACGGATGAACTATCGCCGAGGAAAAAGTGCTTGCCTCCTGTAGAGTTCGAGTCTGGACCTCCACAGGAGGCCGTAGCCATCAAGCCATGGTGACATAGGACATCGTTATAGAAATAAATGATGGAAACATGACATAATGCTTCTATTGCAGTTATTCTTTGATGAGTCTGAAGCCGAAGTGAGCGCAATGAGAAGTGCTTTACAATCAAATGAACTGTAAATTTCAAAATGCGGATAAATTGCTAGCAATGAAACGTCGACAGCCACTCCTCTGCAGAAGGAATGACCTCCAGTGAAAAATTCGTGGAGAAGTGAGCTTGGGCAGGGGAGGGGGCGGTGACCAGAGAGGAAAGACTGGATCTCCAGGGGTTCCGGCAGTGTAAGCAGCTGCACAGGATGCGGAGGTTCGATTCCGACCCTTCCCCGGTCTTCTTTCGCCCTCTCCCTCAATACCTCCTACGTCTATCTCAAATGTGAGATATCACGTGAGTGTTACGGCTATCATCATTACAATTGCCCTGCCTGAAGATACGCGTTGCAGAGGAAGAATATGAAAATCACCGTAGATTATAAGTTTGAAGACCTTTCTAAACTGGAAACAAAATGGGTAAAGATCATTTTAGGTTAATCCTTTGAACTGGCAACCTTTCCCACAGCAACTTCCCACAACTGCTAACCCTTCCCATGATCTAGACCATACGACTTTTGGGGAAAATACGCCCAAACTCACCTCAACGTCTGTCGATCGACGATGCAGTCCTGTTTCGGTAGTGAATTGAAGAACTTCTGCCCTCTCTTTTGTCAGAGAAGGAGAAATGAATCCACTCTCACGACGGTCCTTCGCCAGTACGGGACGAACGAGACACAAAACATCATAAGACACAAGAAATCACTTCAACGGTTTTTTTTTTTTCTTTTTCAGTTTCCACGATGCACTGTATCGAGATCATGCGGACAGAGAAGGGCTTTACAGAGAGGACCTTGCATGCCAAGCTGCCAAGCCGTCTCTAAACCTGTCGAAAGAAAGGAAGAAAAGCAAGGAAACGGAGACGAAAAAGAGCATCCCTAGAATCCCTACGCCGACTTTACATAGCATATCTACATGGGAACTATGGACAAATGTAGAACACGTGCAAAATTTCTCTCATGCATCCACGAGAGCTTAGTCTCATTGCAAAGTCACCTTCAAAATGTTCTCAGAAGTAGTTGCAAAAAAAATTGAATCCCAAATGACACCATGCAAATCAACTACGGAATCTTTTACTGGAAATACTCGGTGCTCAAAATGCTAAGAATGATCGAAAGCTATACGAACTATACAGAGGTCTGGAATGATGAAAGTAGGAAGGGGAACTCACTTCTGTGTGTGTGTGTGAAAAGTGAGAGTCGGGATTTTGACTCGGATCTTCTTCACGAGAAGAAGATCCGAATCCTTCGTTGACGTTGTTGAGGGAAGGTGGGGCCTCGAATGCGGGCGGGGACATTGAATCTTGGGGTATCTTCCGATATTCTTCCAAGGACTTGGAACTTCCCATTTTGGAAGTGGAGCGGGACTGGGACTGGAGAGGGGTTGGGGATTCGATCACGACGCTGGGCGTTGTGGCGAGTTCATCCTCTTCTGCGAGGCCTGATTCTGTTGCTCCCTCCTCGGGAACATCATCTGCTTCGGGTTGGTTCGATTCGTCTGTTTCGGCATCGTTGTGTTCAGGGACGTTTTCCTCGTTTGTAACAAGGTCGGGATTTTCTGTCGTTTCAGTGTCGGTTCTTGCCTCGTTTTGAGGAATTTCGGGTTCATTCTCATCCGGTGCTTCTGCTTCTGCAACCTCTTCCGCATCTTTGATTTCTTCACCTTGCAGAGCACTATCTTCTGCTTTGATCATTTGTTCTTCGACAGCTTCAGTATCGGGTGTCTCTTCTGCAGTGACTGCTACTTCTTCCACCTGGTTGTCATCGATTTCATCTGCTGAAGTGGCAAGAGGGTCTTCACTTTCTGGGTCTGGCTGACGGTCGGGTTCTTCTTGGCTCACGGCTGGTGGCTCGGTATCGCTTGTGTCTGGTTCGTCAGCCTCTTTCGAATCTTGTTCGTTGTCTACGTTCGTGAGGGCAGCTTCGGTTACCTCGAGCTCACCTTCATCGCCAGTATCGACTTGATCTGCAGCTGCAGCTTCGGATTCGGGTTCCGGTGCTACGCCAACCTCTAGAACTTCTTCTTGTGGAATCTCGTCGTCTCCTGGCTTATCAGAATCGGTCGGTGGGATGACCTCATGGACTTCTAGTACCTCCTCTGCCTGAAGCTCCGACTCAACCTCTTCTGGCTCCTTTTCTTCGCCATCTCCTGCGACATCTACTTTCTCCTCGTTGGCTACTCTTGGTTCCGTTTCGCTCTCTTCTTGGCTGTCTTCTGCCGTTTCGGGCTCAGGTGCGATAGGTTCTGATTCTTCAGCTGCTTTAGGCTCAGGTGCGATTGGATCTGACTCTTCTGCTACTTCAGTGATATGTACAACTTCTGGCGCATCTTCTGGTGCAGGCTCTTCCAGTTCAAGTGTGTCTACGGCTGCTACAACTTCTTCAGTAGCAAAGGCGTTTTCTGCCTCTTTGGTTTCTGGTTCTTCATAGGCAGTCGGAGGCTCATTTTCTGCCTCGGGCTCTGGTTCTTCGGTTACCAGCTCTTCTTGCTCTTCCGCCTCTTCTGACTTTGCCTCAATTGTCGTGTCGACGTTTTCATCTTCTACTGGAGGTTCAGGCTCATCGGCTGGTGCAGACGACGAATCGAGTGTAGGGTCGGAATCGTCTACGGTGGCATCAGCTCCACCATCCTCTCCCGAAGTTGCGAGGTCAAACTCTTCCATGGCTTCAGGAACTTGATCCTCTGGTGGAAGTTCGTTTTCCGCTGTCTCTGCTGCTTCGGCCGCTTTTTCGAGGACCTCCTCGACAGCAGTTTCGTCAGCTGTCTCATGTGGACCATCATCTTCCATGGCTTCTGGGTCGGCATCGCCATCGTGGCCTTCGGGCTCCATCACCGCACCAACATCTGCAATGCTTTGTCGTTCAATGGTGTATTCGACGGGCTGCAGGTCTTCGGGACTCTCGTCGAGTTTGGGCTCTGCACCCGCAGGTTCGGTCTCTTCGGTCGCAGCTTCTGTCTCTTCAGCTGCAGCTTCGGTCTCTTCAGCTGCAGCTTCGGTCTCTTCAGCTGCAGCTTCGGTCTCTTCAGCTGCAGGTTCTGTCTCTTCAGCTGCAGCTTCGGTCTCTTCAGCTGCAGGTTCTGTCTCTTCAGCTGCAGCTTCGGTCTCTTCAGCTGCAGCGTCGGTATCTTCGACTGCAGCTACTGTCTCCTCGGTTGCAGCTTCGATCTCTTCGGTTGCACCTTCGGTCACTTCAGCTGCAGCTTCAGTCTCTTCGATTGCAGCTTCGGTATCTTCAACAACTGCATCGGGAATCTCTGACACTTTCTCAACTTCTCCGATATGCTCTGGTTCGGTCTCAGCTGCCTCTGTAATCGCCTCCTCCAGTTCAGGCTGAGACCCCTCAACCGATTCTGTCGCTTCTTCAGCAGCCGCTTCAGGTTCAGATGGGATTTCAGCAGCCTCCAATGTTTCATTGTCTTCGGATTCTTGTCCAGTCTCATGGTCTTTTTCTTCCTCGACCTCGGTCTCCCCTTCTTCGATATCCTCAAGTTCTCGCAGATCGTCTGGTGTCGAATGACCCTCTTCCTCTGCTGTTCCATTCACCACTTCAAATTCATCCAGAGTAGCGACTACTGGTTCTTGGGAGGTTTCCTCGACAGTCTCCGGCACTAGGACCTCCTCATTCGCCTCTGCTTTTTCTGGCTCTACGTCCAGGGCTTCGGGTTCGTCGTGGACGGTAGCAGCTGATTCTTCAGTCCCGTCCGTCGTCGGCTGCTCTTCAGGTGCAGCAGCGTCAGAACTCCCAGGTTCTTCAGCATCGGTTCCAACTTCACCAGACACCTCAAGCTCCACGACATCGCCATCGGCTTCAGAGGCTATTTGCTCTGCTTCTTGTTCCTCCTCTTGAGCTTGTACTTCGCCTGTTGCATCAGCATCACCAGACGTGGGAACATCTTCAGCTTCTTTGTAGTCCATGTCAGCTTCCATTTCTACTTCCTGAGCAGGAACGACATGAATTTCATCTTCCGCTGCTGCCTCTTCCTTTGCTAGCTCATCTTCCAATACTTCGATATCTTCAGTCATTTTCTCATCGTCGAGTCCTTCGTTCTCTAGGACGTCGTCTGCCGTAGGTTGAGGCTCGTCTTCAGTAGCAGGCAAATCCTCCTGGTCATTCACTTCTGCATTTTCCGCTTCAGGAAGTGCACTCTGTTCTAGAGGTTCGCCTTCTGTAGTGCCCGTGTCTTCAATCTCAATGACTTGATCTTCAGTCGTGACCTCTGGCTGAGAGCTATCTTCTATGACTGAGGATAGAGCTGGCTGAGCCTCATCTTCATTTGGCTCTTCCAATTCTGCTTTGGATATCTCATCTGCATTTTCCTCTTCCTGAATCGTGACTGGTTCTTCCACCGGTTGGCTAGCTTCATCAGTCTCTTTGGAATTTTCCTCATCCTGTGCTTGCATTTCAGACTCTTCTAGTTCAGCATATTCTATCCTTGTCTCTTGATCTCCTTCCAAGGCGTCTTCTTGATGTTCGCCGGTAGATGGATCACTAACTCCTTTCTGCTGGACGTCAGAAACTGTTTCAACTTCATCTCCTGCTGTTTCTTCCGTCACTTCACCAGAAGGCTCGCTCTCGCCACCTTCGGGTTCTGCACTTGCTTGCGCTTCATCTGATTCATCAATTTCATTTGGAGGTGCAGGCACTCCCTCTAATCCCATTGGCACAATGGAGGAAACTACCATCTCTTCCTCAAAAGCATCCTCTTTCTCAGCCTCTGTCTCCTCCATACCCGCAGTCTCACTTTCCTCCGCCAAAACGTCTTCAGTCATAGCTTCAGTTTCTTCGGGAGTGACTTCTATTGGAGCTGCTGCAGATTCCACTTCTAGGGTTTCTTTCAGCTCATCATCAGGTTCCTCTGAAGGCATATCCTCCTCTTGAACTCCACTAGGTTGTTCAGCAATTTGTTCCTCTGCCTCAAAAGCTGCACCTTCAGCAGCATATGTGTCATCAGTTTCGACAACTTCAGATTCTTCAGCAGAGGCCTCCTCTGCTATTGCTTCAGATTCATCAGCAGAGATGCCTGTTGCTCCAGCAGCTTCTGTTTCCTCAATAGTAGCTTCTTCTGCTGCGACTAACTCAGATTCTTCAGCATGGGTCTCTTCGACTTCTCCTTCTTTAGCGTTCTCCTCGGGCAATTCTCCAGGTTCCTCCTCCGGCACATCCCCAGGCTCATCTACAGCTATTTGTTCGATGTCCTCATCCACTTCAGCGACTTCTTCCATTTCACCAACCTCAGATCCCTCGGTAAGGATCTCCTTGGCATCCTCCACACCAGTATCATCAGTTAGAGCATTGTTAGGCTCCTCTTCGGTTGTTTCTGCTACATCAGCAGCAGGAATTTCCTCGATAGCTGATTCCTCTGTTAAAATAGTCTCGGGTTCCTCAGCAGAGCCGTCCTCAGCTACAAGAGAGTCAGATTCCTCGGCAGGGATGTCATCAGTTCCAACAATTTCGGATTCAGATGCAGAGATTCCTTCTGACTCGTCAATTGCTGGTTCTGCCTCTAAAATATCTTCCGTTTTCATAGTTTCAGGTTTCTCAGCTGTGACGTCCTCCAGGACGATAGGTTCGATAGGTTCTTCAACTGAGACCTCCTCAGTCGCAACGTCTTCAGCCTCCTCCACAGGAACTTCCTCCACTTCGGTACTTTCAGGTTCCTCTTGGGAAGCCTCTACTGGAGACGTTTCAAACTTTTCAGCTTCCTCAACAGGTCCCTCCTCTTGCTTCATGTCTTCAGATTCTTCAATAGGTTCTTCTGTTTTGAAGTTTTCAGTCTGCTCAGAAGTGACATGTTCTACTTCAACTGATTCAAGGTCCTCAGCAAGTTCTGATTCCTCTGCAGAGATCAGCGTTTCAATGACTTCAGGTTCGTCAGCGGAGACGTCTGCTTCATCCACTACTGGTGCTTCTGCAGTTACGTCCTGGATTTCAATACCTTCAGGTTCTTCAACAGCCAATTCTTCTGCTTCTGGTTCATCCAGCTCTCCTGGCGCCTCTGCGGTTACTTCCTGGGTTTCAATACCTTCAGGTTCTTCAACAGCCAGTTCTTCTGCTTCTGGTTCAGTCAGTTCTCCTGGCGCCTCTGCAGTTACTTCCTGGGTTTCAACACCTTCAGGTTCTTCAACAGCCAGTTCTTCTGCTTCTGGTTCAGTCGGTTCTTCTGGATATGCTCCTACGTCTGCAGCCCGTGAGACCAGGAATATTTCTTCCGCGGGCTTCTCCACAGGCTCAAGCTCCACTTCTTCCAGTAGCTTGTCTTGGGTTTCTTCCGAGGTACCTTCGTCCAATTCTGCAGCGTCATATTCTGTTTCTTCTGGATTCTGGCCCTCTTCGTCTTTTGATTCTTCTGCATTTGGCAACTCCTGATCGGATTCCACAGCATCGGACCCCATCAGAGATCCCCGATCGATGGAATCTCCGGCAAAGATATCGGCCTGAGACAGCCTCTTCTCCTCCGGAGACTCCGTGTCTCCGTCGAATATCATGACATCCGCCCCTTCTGAAGCGGGCAAGAGCGTCCCTTCGGGAATCGGGGAATCGGCCCTCATCATGGCGAACCGGGCCGCATGTAGGGCTTCGGATTGAATCATGAAAGCCGCTTCTTCCGCCGGGAGGGAGTTCTTTTTCGGCGGGGTTCCCTGTTCCGGGTAGGTTGGAAGGGCCAAATGCTCATCTTTGACACTGGGTAAATCGTTCCCTTCCCCGAAACCGGTTTCCAACTCCTTCTCCGTCTCGGATAGGGAAATAGCGTCCTGATACCCAGAGTCCTCGATCCATGGCAAAGTCTGTTTGATTACTTCTCGGGAGTCTGACGGTTCGTCAAAGGTGGCCAGAGGTGCACCCCCGACCAAAACCGTTTCAGCCTTCGTCACGTGTCCATTGGTCTCTGGTTCGACCGGAGATTCGGTGGTTGTCGTCCCATTCGAGACTCCAACCAATTTTTTCCGCGGTTTCGGGATGGGTCTTTTGCGTTTAGACTCCGGGCTGTCTCCACCTCGGGCACAGGAACAGCCTGCGTGACCGGAAAACAAATAGAGTACTTAGGAATGTGTCCACGTGTGGATAAACACACGAACGATGAAATATTACGTCAGTTGGTATGCAAACGTCTGCGACCTCGGCATTGCGTTTCAGGCCTTGAGAAACTGGGATTTAAACATCCGGGACATTCGTACTCTGTCTTTAATGGCTTTTTATATTTGAGAACTATGCGATGCGACGATGACTTGATGATGAGATGCGAGATGTGAAGAGACCCCGCTGTCGACGACCGTGATGTGACAGAGACGAATTGGATTTGTCAAAAGCAAGCCAGGCGTCCTTGGATGAGAAGAAGACCTGGCCCAATATCAAATTGCGTCACGAAACCCTTCGACCCTGAATCTGACATCTCACCCTTTTGAAAGAAACAGGACTACCCTTGAAAAAAAAAAAAGTGGGCTGGTCCGAGCATGAAAATTGCATAATCGATAATAATTTAAATTAAAAAAACCATCATGCATCAGAAGCAAAATGATTACAGTACATCCTTGAAAGTATCCATCAATAACATTATTTAAATTTCAAAAATAATAATACAATTTAAAAAAAAACAAACAGGAGCGGTCGAGAAGCAGCGAACAGGAACTATTCATCTTTCCTTGTTGGTCTAGTCGAAACTCCTGCAAGAGTCCTCAAAATTCAATCAAAAAGACGCGAAGAGCTCTTCAACGATATGGAATTAGTCACGATCGCAGCTCGGAATTCCGAGAAACGGAAATGAAAAGAGAAGAATTTGCTCCTGAAACCGGTGGGAGAGTTGTTTAACGTGATATTAATATTACCATGCTAATAACACCAATTGAAAAGATAATGACACCGGGAAAAGGAAAAATACGTTCCATTCATCACGAGAAATTGGAGCGCTAATGCCAATGATGACTCCATCACGACGACCTCATCTTTAAGATATGGGATCGTGTCGTGCCGAGTTTGGTCTGTCGTCTGCAGCTGGAGTACTAGGAATCGAGCCCCTAATTATAGGCGAATATCCCCCCGTTTGATCGATGGATATTCTCTGGGTCTAGCCGATGGTGCACACACCCCGTCGGCTTCTCTCGCTTTTCCCTCCCCAGGTGCCTTTGTGCCAAACCGATTTCTCGTCGAAGAACCGTCTCGAATGGTCACTCACGAGTGCGATGCACCGTCTCGATTCAGTTTTTTTCCTTCATGCATTTCCCAGGTGGTAATGATAGTGTGCGGAATTTTCTCCCACGCCAGTCTACTGGATGACTCACCACGCGCTTCCTGTCTTCGTACGGGATAGCCCATTACCGGACAATATGAAAAAAAAAGCGGAGACCCCCCTCCCTCATACTTCCTTGATAGTGTGCGGAATTTTCTCCCACGCCAGTCTACTGGATGACTCACCACGCGCTTCCTGTCTTCGTACGGGATAGCCCATTACCGGACAATATGAAAAAAAAAAGCGGAGACCCCCCTCCCTCATACTTCCAATTTCGGTGCGGCTGATATATGGGAAGAATTCGAATCAATCTCGTTCGTTTAGGGATTGAAGGAAGTCAAGAAACGTAATTCCTTTGCTAATTAAGGATGACTTTCGAGTCGTGGACGATACGGGAACGATCTCGAAAGAGAAAGTGAACCGACTCCACGGGGTACTGTAAACGGTACTGCAATCGGGCGACACGATTCACCCTATGTTTTCCCGACGAGAAATTCAAGGACGCGTGTACTTACGGACGGCACTCAAAGACGCACCTTTTTTGAGGAAGGACGACACGCAGTTCCCCATGTCGCGTCGAAAGAGATGTCACATCGCAAAAACGCAACGAAGGAACGCGTAGAGAACAGATCTCACGAAACGAACGCCAGACGGTCGCGTGTGTGCAGCGGGGGAGCGGGAGTGCCGAGCGCCAGACGGAGAGTGACTGGTGTCGCTGGTGGGCTGGCGCGACTCCTCCCGAGGGCCACGCTTCCCTGCATCCATTCCGCCATCCACACCAAGTCCTTCGCCCCGCTACGAAATCCCGCGCTTCCGAGTCCTCTTCCCGTCGATGGTCGATGGGTCGCTTCGCTCGTCGCGTCGTCTCGGTGACGATGTCCGGTTTTTCCGTATCGATCTCGACGATCGGCGGGGGACGATCGCGAAGCGATCGAAAGAGAAAGGCTCGTACTGCCCTTTCGTGAGATTTTTTACCGCAATCCCCAGCCTTGAAATTCCTAGGGCTTTCTCACCTGGACCGCGCAATCGAGCAGAGAAACAGGAAGAGGATTTTTAAAAAGGGGTCGAGTCGTAGAGCCTGGCATGCATTACTCTTTGTGGTCCTATGATGTAAGAAGGCGTCCTTGGCTCTCTTGTTCGTCGGGGAAGCACGTCGGGCCAAGCCCCTTCTGATCTGCATCACAGCCTCCTTTTTTTTTTATTCTTCTTCTCTGGTACTTCCTTATGCGGTCTTCGTGAATCGCTTTCCTGGAACAAAAAGGGGGGGAGGAGGGGGGAGGGGGAGGGGGGTCTCCGCTTTTTTTTTTCATATTGTCCGGTAATGGGCTATCCCGTACGAAGACAGGAAGCGCGTGGTGAGTCATCCAGTAGACTGGCGTGGGAGAAAATTCCGCACACTATCATTGCCCTGCCATGGGAGGAGGGAGGGAGGAGGGGGGGAGGAGGGGGGGGAGGAGGGGGGGGGAGGAGGGGTTTCCATTCATCGCTAATCGGGTGATTGTTGTTTCGCGTCCGTGACCCTCTGGGTATCCGGTGGCGTGTTTCTCCGTTCCTTATCGCGAGATGATCGTTGCAACGGAGTGAAAATCACAGCGGAAAATGGCCTTTGCACGAGTTAGAAGGATCGTCATTCCCATTTTTCCCCGTTATCTCATCTCGCAGATGAGATCATCCTTTCCTTTTATGCCCTTTTTCGGTTGCCGTACTGTTTATTTGCGTCGGCAGGGAGTTTCGCAAGAAGATGAATTATATTTGACGTGGAGTTAAGGACCGGAATGGCGAAGGGTAAGTGGGATAAGTCACCTCGGGCGAGGAATTTCCCTTGGAAGTGTTCGGCCGCGAATCGAGGAATGTCGTCGGGCCGACGACGCAGGACTTCCCGCGTCAGGTCCTCGAGCAGGTCCTCGAGTCCGTCGGGGACGCGGAGCCGGACGAAGAGCGGGTGGACCTCTGCCATGCCGGCCGTCTGTCGCAGGTTTTGTCGCAGATTTGTCGCAGGTTTTGTCGCAGGTCTTCTTGGCCTCGAGCGGTTTTGCCTCTTCGGTTTATTCACTCGGCGATACTTCGTCGAACGCGTCAAGATGCTGCAAGATGCGCCAAGATATAGCGGCAATCAGCGTTAATCGCAAATACATTCGAGTCCTAATAAAACCAAGTAGAGAAAATCATTTTCCTTCTCGTCAAAGTCGTTCAAGAGTCAAAGAGTGGATCCAACAAAGAGAGGAAGTCATTTCGAAATTTCGCATTTATGAAGGTAAGTTCATGAGAGCATTGAAGGCGACGTAGACAAGAGAGGATCATCGAAATCGATCACGGCTCTGTTTCCTGTTTACGGCACGCAGACGTATAAAGTAAATAACGAGTGAAAAAAAAGTGATTATGACAAGGTCTGGGAATGCCTTCACGCGAAAGTGAATCCGATGATCCAACTAATCCCTTCGGAGATGACAGAAAGCAAAACGGGAGAGCCGGGCCTCAAACGTGCATGGAACAACATGCAAATGGAAAGAAAAGAGCGTTGTAAACGATAATCGATCGAGGACGTGTCGCAACGCCGCGGTGCTTGAGCAAGGATTGCACAATCCCGGTTTTCTGCGTGCGAGGCGAGTATGCCATCTCGAGGACGTATCGGTGAGAACGTGGAGACCCATAAACTAAAGGGAAATCATGGGCGGATGCCTCGAGCATCCTGTGAACTCACCGAAACGATGCGTGGAGGCAAGGGGGAGAGGAAGGGCGAAGGGCGCCGCCATCTTGTCTGCTGCCGGCCGACTTCCATCGATTCAACTCATCGATAAAATACGTGAGCACACGGAAAAGGGATCTTCCGTCGCGTGCTGCGATCGGTACTTCACATTCCTTTCGTTCGTTTTCTTTTCGTCTCGAGTCACGCGTCGAGTGTATTCACAATCTGTCTTGCAGTCGCTAGCCACGCCCCGAGATCGATGACCGAGAGATTCTCTCCCGATTCCACGGAATCCTCACGCGATCGAAAGTAATAACCAGGCGGAAAAAGAAGCATCGTCGTTCGAGGATATATTTTAATGGGAGATCCCACGCGATTCCTTTAGGAGCGGGTGGAACGGGCGGTCGACGGGTGCGGGGCGGATCGGACCTCCAGGGTCGGCATGAGGCAGCCGAGAGAGAAGAGGCAGAGGATCGTCAGCGCCACGAACGTCATCGCCTGCCACGATGTCCAGAGGACTGGGTGGTGGTGGGTGCAAGCGGCGTCGCGGTTGAGGCTGGGGCGGTCAGTCGATCGAGGGGGTTGAGGCGGGTGGCGGTCGGGTCGGGTTCCGGAGCGGCGGATCGGCTTTCGGATCGGGGATAAGGCCGGCTCCTTTTCTCTGTCGTCTCCGCCTCCTGGAATTTCAGCGTGTGATTGCTTGCGAGACGATTTTCGAGTTTCGTGGATCGTGGATGCTGCTTCGGCGGATATCGTTCCAACTTATTTTTAGCGAGCGGGACTGTGAGTCCGCAAAATACGACGAGAGGCAAAAACGACATTTTTGCAAGTAGTCCTAAATATTGAAGAGATATTGCATCCAGGTGCTGTCACCATTTAACTCTTTCCCGCGAGATTGAATCCCAAAATGTGCAGAATCGAATTGAATTGGCAGATTAGAAGGAATTGGTGATACCTGAAAGAGGCGACGACTGGGCGATAGATACAAGTAGAAACAGAGCCGCCACTCTCATCGGTGTGATGACGGGATAGGAATCTCTCTTAGGCTCCATCTTCTCTGCCCGCTCTATTAGCCTCTCGGCGGGGGGACTCTGTCGGTCCGGTCGTGTCAGGGATGCCGGGGTGAGATGGGGACTGTGGACTTTCCGATAGTCGACTGCTGGCAAGTTCGAGCTGCCTCGAAGTGCAATGTGACTTTGTTGCTGGGCGATTTTTGAGGTTTCCGAGGATGAAAGCCTGGTCGCATGAGGACTCCTTTTTTCCCACAAGTTCTTCCCGTTGCTGCGAGGGAGAAGAGGATCTTCTCAGAAAATTCGTATCATGTAATGCGGGTCTAATATGGGTTTCAGTGGAAGCGGAGTCGCAAACTCTCTCCGCGGGTCTCTCTCACTCGATTCGGGATCGCACGGGACGAAGGGAACCTCAGCCTGTCGACAGCCAGCCGTTCTCCATTCTTCAAAGCGTATTTCGGAATCAAACTTGGCAACATTGACGACACGAGAACTTGGCAACATCGATGGCACATGAAAGGTTTGCCCGTGAGACGGAGGTATGTGCGGGATTAAGGTAACTCCCCTGGATCAAATCTTTTTTTCTTGCCAAGGCATAAAGAATGGATGCCAAAAAAAAAATATTTTTTCGCCCCCTTTCTAAAATGAGCTTCTGGTGATATTTAATCGATTTATTGCTGTAAGTCAAGAAAGGGGGTTGCTTCGATGGGTGGTGCAAAAGTGGGTTCCAACCTCGCGTTTCGCTTAGTCTCCCAATTCTTTCGTCATTACTCTTCATGCTAATGGTGACGGTATTCATAACCTATAGGAACCACACTTTTCAAACTTCGGCATTTTTAGTATTCGAGTGTTCCACACTGGTAGGCTATTCTAGATGTATATCAAATACTTGGAGATTCTTGGATTGCAACAGGAGAGAATGGCGAGTGGGATGCATAACACCATAGAATAACTATTTGTTGTTGGAGAGAGCTAGAGGAGCAACTCATGTATCGCATAATTAAATGCGCGTAATTAAGTAATTAAAACATAGCGCTAATTCCTTTTTCAATGAACTCAAACATTTTAATCGACGTTTCAGAGAGAAAGGACGTCTTCTCAGAAACAAAAAAATGTATTGGTTAACTTCGTTCGTTAATTTAATTAATTATGCTGTAGAAAGGGAAACTCCTCCAGTTCTACGCAGTCATACAGGGTATGGCAAAAAAAATGACCAACAACTTTTGACCTAAATATCTCCATTCACACTGGGACTATTTTCGTGAAACTTTCACTTTGCATACATGGGTATGTCTCCAACCGATACATCAAATTTCATTAGAATTCGTTGACCAGAAGCAACACTATCAGCAATGACTGAAAAGAAGTTAGACACTGAGAATTACTACCACTGGTAGCAATTCCAGTAATCAACTAGTAATTCAGTACCGAGAACTACTGCTGGTAGCGGAAAAAAGCACTCTCGCGCCGTCCCCCCCTTCTCGTCGAGACCATGTCGAACCCCGCTTCCATTCCTCCGAGCTGAAGTGTGTCCGTCTCTCCGCTATCAGCATGGGGCTCTTGTCCATTCTCGATGTTGAACGTTTTCTCGATTATAGCTGATAGTATTGGTTTGGCGCAAGAAATTTGGGTGAAATATAGGATGTCAGTTGGGAACATACTCATAAATACAAAGGGAAGGTTTCGAGAAAACAGCTCTATTGTGAGGGGAGATATTTGGACTGAAAGTCGTTGGTCATTTTTTTTGCCATAAGGTTTTGTTCATCTCACTGATAGTTTTCTTCTGTTGCAACTCGGGAATCTCCGATATGTCAATACGAGGATGGAGCAGGCAAAAATTGGCAGTAACATCAATGGCATTGGAACAAATTGTGACTCAGTGAAGTGAGAGCGATGCCTCAGAGGGTATTTACCAGTAAAAAGTATAAATATTTGTGATATCATGTAGTACAGCATGTAAAACAGGAGTGGGAAGACCTCCATTTTTTTTTCCAAAGGTGGTATTTTCCCCAAAAAGACCACAATTTGCCACCTCACAGCATCTTTGGAGTTAAGAAACTGTAAACTTGTCCTTCAGTACACGAAGGCCTGATATCTGGTGGATCAAGTTTTGCTGGAAACTATTTCTTACCTACTCTCTTAGTTTATTCGATATGTGAGAGCCAAAACCCCTCTAATAGGCTCACATCCTATTCCCCAGAAATCTCCAATGGATCGCCCATAAAATGATTTAATTTAAAACAGTGATAAGCAATCGTTTTTTACTGCTGGCAGCAAGTGAACCTTAGAGGTTCCCGGCAGGCCGCATGTATTTTTTGAAATACTGAATTACGGGCTTTATGCCTGCTGAGTACCAAAATAATCCTAAGCCTGGCTTAGTAAACCAGGTACTAAAATAGTAGATGCTAATGATATGCAAAGGACTAATTTTGAAAATTTTCTCATCATTTTACTGGTCAGTGCCAAGCAAGCCGCTTGCTCCGGCAGCAGTGATACCCTGACCAAAAAGAGGTGATATTTGCAGCGGAAATATAGCATTTATGTTTAATTTCTTGCTTCCGTATCTCCTGCAGTGAGCAACGGAATCCTTGAGCGCTCTACCCCAGGTGGCAGAGGGGAAAAAAAATTTGTCGGCAAGGCCCCGAGTCGCACACCAGGACCTTGCGGACCGCGGGTTGCTCATCACCGATTTAAACCGATAAGAATCCTGCTCTGAAATGATCGGTGCTGCAATCGATGACCTCTCTCGTCCCATCCGGCTCTCGCAACTGCAGGCGGGAATGCGGAATGAGGCATCGCGTCGAGCACGCAAGCACGTTCTTTCCTTCTTGCACCAGTTTTGAATGAACGAGGCTGCCAGGCAGCCCTGGATCGTCTCTCTCGCAGTGGATTTTAGGTCAAGGGGTTCTTGCCATCGCCTTGCCATGCTTCTCGTCTCGTATCTGGCTGGCGGATCGGAGGACTCAGTATCGGTCCAATTATCATTGAATTGAGCAATGCCATTGATCGCCATTGATCACATCGAATTATCGTTGAAGGGTTCAACTTTCCTTTCCTGACGTTCGTGTACCGGGAGAAAAATGCGTTAAACTGTTTTCATATAATACCCAATCATCAACTTTTATGTGTTGGCTTTCTGATGCTTAGAAGTCCATGAAGTTTTACATTTTTAGAATGCGCAGTTCATGATCCCCCCAGTACCTTCATGTGCACGTTGAGAACTGGATCCTAATCCTGAATACGAAAGAGGGGGAAATTTAC